AAGGCCCCACAGGAATATATCCACGTCAGACGAGTCATACATTTGCTCGACAGAATGATAGATTCGGAGCTTGTCTCTATCAGTCATTGCTTTGATGGGCACCAATGCTGCAAGGACCGAGCCACCTGTGACAATCATGTTATTCCAATTCGTAAGGGACTGGAGAACACCGTGGGTAAAGAGGGTCCAGTTCTCTTTGAATTCGTCGATGCTAGCAACGGTGGATGGTGTGCCGTTCGGGCGGTGGTCTGCAGGACCTTTTGATTCCGGATTCTCCTCGAATGGGTTTTTCGGAAGGCGGGGCTGGTAGCGAAAACGTCGATGAGACCAGCATAGACCTTGGGCACCTTTTCATGAGCAAAGCGAAGACACAGTGACCTCTCAAACTTGAGGACTCGCTGGAGGGCGTTCTCGAACTCAGTTGCTGACCGAGGGCCTGCTGGTAACACAGAGATAGTCTCTATAAAGTTGGGAATGATGGCTGACGAGGCAGGGGCAGACATGGCGCTTTGGAAGACCACAATCATCCTGTCGCCTTTATATGTGTGCACCAGGAAAATACCGACCAATTTGGTGTTCTCACTGTATTAGCTTGGGTTCAGAGTACCACCCAAAAGGTGCCCGGCCTCTTCATGCCTTCTGAGCAAGCTCATCGATTCGATCATTTAAACAAAAGGAGTTCGTTATCGTGATTTATGGCCCTACTCACTAGTTAATCCAAGCCCTCAAACGGCAGCTCTGTGACCCGACTTGCTCTCTCGTGATGGTCGTTGTCATCTAACAGGAGCCTTTGATCACGGGATTCCCTTCCGATGGTCCCAGTGAACGTGCAAAGGCAGAGTGTTGATTCACGGTTTATTGGCTCGTGAATTGTCACAGTCCTTGTTGACGTCTGTGTCTCTGTTGTGGTGAGAAGGATTGCTGATGCAGGAGCCATTGTAGTGATGGTGTGAGGTGGTAGGGTCCAGGTACTGGTGGCGACATCGGTGATAGTTTCGAATTGTGTTTGCGTCTCCGTCTGGGTGTGAATGTCTGTTTGAGTCAAGGAGATGGTCAAGGTCTCCAGAATCTCTGCTTGAGGGATGGTCAGGCCAAGTATCAG